TTGACTTTGTTTCTTTGCTGGGGTGCAAGAAGCCTTTCGCAAGATGATATCGCTTTTGACCATTCAGTTAGAGTTGCTGAATGACATCACTGCAAGAGGCAAGAGAGGAAGAAATGGGAAGGGGAAAAAGAAGGCACCATCAACCTCCCCTATTTCATTTTACTGATTCCACTTGTGCAAGCTTCCGCTGTAACGCGTGTTACCTCACTGAATTGCCATCATTGGCATGTGAAATAGTCATCAGTCTATGGCTTATTGACACAAACAGCGTCTGATTTCATGCCACACGTAGAAATCCAACACTCGATGATTATGGTTTCTTGGATTCAATTAGTTTCCTAGAGCTAATGCTTACCAGCCTTTACAGTTGCTATGGTAAGTTGGTGGTAGCTAGCTATACATATTGCACAGTCTCAGACAAAGATATAGGGATGGTGTCATGTAGCGTTCCCTGCCTTTATTAAGTGTAGCTAACCACCCCGTTTTTAGAGCTGCGCACTTGTAATACCTGGACATCAATGTTTGTTGTATTGCCAATGCAAATCAATGCCCTGTATGCTGGTATAATATAGCTTGTTCTGGGTGCGACGAAGGACTCATGCTGTGTGATGGTCGACTTGGAACCTGCTGCACTTACTACTTTGAGGACATGTGTGTGGAGGAGTGTCCAGAGGAATGTCACGTGGTCGACGAAGACTTCAATTGTGTAAAACGTACGTAGCATGTAGCTATTAGTGTACTCTCTACAAGGTCATCATGATCAGACAAGTTCAGTTCCACACGGCTTTGTTAAAAATCCTAAGTCCTCATGCTACAATGAAAAGCACTAAAGTGCAAACCCTCGGCGAACTGCGCATGTGCGGTACCACTAATTGATGGGTTGGGCTTTTTATGCCTTTACTCGTGGTATCCCGCTAGTAGCTCGCGGAGAGTCTGGCACGGGCTAGCTACAGTAGTAAATAGCATGCGGGAGTCGATACATGCCCTTCGTTGTGACTTGTTGTGCCTTCAAGACAAACAGAGCGAACGGACGCGGTCGAGGTAAGCCTGTGCTAATTTACATATTGGCTTGTTCACTTGGTTTTCACGCCATAACTTTAATTCTGTTGCAGTGGTTGACTGTGGTGAACTAATGGACCCAGAGAATGGAGCAGTAAATGTGACTAATACAACATTCAACTCAACAGCCACTTACTCCTGCAATGGTGGCTATAATCTAGTGGGAGATGCCACCAGAACATGTTTGGCTAGTGCTAGCTGGTCTGGTATTATGGTAATGAAACAATAATGTGAGGTTTTACGTCCACTTAGTGACTGCTGAGGTGCAGTACAGCACGATACCCCACTGCATGAATATGGCCACCAAATCTCCAGAGTATTATGTAACCTCATGTTATGGTAGTTCTACCAGATTTGGTATTCATTGCAGGTCCTTTCTCACGAACCCCACATCTCGCACCTGCTATAGGCTGCAGTCAAAACTGTATCGAGTGCGATGAGGACAAATGCAGTTCCATGTGAACAAAACTACAAAAATCGAGAGTGGAATTTGCAGTGGAGTCACTGAACCTCGATGTGATTGCTCTAGAGAAAACGCCTCTTCTCTCTCTGTTAGGATGTGCAACTGTAGTGGCTGCAGTATTTATGGCGAAGACGACTCCAGCAAGTGTGACATTGTGACGAAGAGGATGAGACTGAGTGAAAGACAAACTTGGGCCTGTAATACTGGGAGAGATGATGGAAAAGGGAATGGGCTCTCTCCTGGGGTTGGTGAGAAGATAATTGTTGGGTATACCTTTATCTTTCTAAAAACCCACCTAACCACCATATCGAAACTGTCTCATAGTGCACTGGACTTGATTCCAGTCACTATGCCTCAGTTTGATTATTGAATGAAGGCAGTTCATTCCCTTTCCCTCACACTTCTATTGAATAGGTCTCACACTACGGGAGAAGGTCTTGTTAGCTGTGACTGTGGTCTTTGGTGCTTTGCTCATAGCTCTAGCAGTGACAGTGGTGGTTCTCAGGCTGAAGCTGTCAAAGAAGAACTCAAGTAAGCAATTACTTTTTGAGTGAAAATCTTATCTTTCACTTATATACTCAAGGGTCATCACATGCAAGCAAGAATGACGAGATTGAAGTGGATGAAAACTGTGCCTATGCAACTTCAACTGACGCCTTCAACAGAATATAATTATGCTGAAATCAAGAGACAATAATAACCTCCATAATCACTATTGCTTTGCTTTTTTGTCTGAATGCCAGGAAAACTAGACTATGTTGTATAAGAGTTTCATTTTCGTTCACCTACTGTATAATTCCCCTGTTGTTTTCAAGTTAGCTACTGTAAAACCATAAAATACATCTGCCACCTGCTATAGGCTGCACGTCAAACTGTATCGAGTGCGATGAGGACAAATGCAGTTCTTGTGAACAAAACTACAAACTCGAGAGTGGAATTTGCAGTGAGTCACTGAACCTCGATTGTGAATGCTCTAGAAAACGCCTCTTCTCTCTCTGTTAGGATGTGCAACTGTAGATCGCTGCAGTATTTGTGCGGAAGACGACTCCAGCAAGTGTGACACTTGTGACGAAGGACTGAGACTGAGTGAAGACAACTCTGCCTGTATCACTGGGAGAGATGATGGAAATGGGCTCTCTCCTGGGGCCATTTTTGGTGAGAGGATAATATCTTTATTTTGCTGGGGTTTCTATGGTTAAAACCCACCTAACCACCCTATTAAAACTGTGGTGGGAGGGGATGATTGTGGTCTAGAACTGTAAACAAGAGGGGGAAAGTTTGTAGGCTACCAACTTCTTAACTCCAACTTCAACTTGGCCTTAGGTCAACTTCAGCCTGTGACTTGTCTGAAAGTGTAAGTGTGGTGGGACTTTTTGGCCCTGAAGCTAGTTTCATTATGGAGCTCTATGCTCAGGTACATAGTGGTAGCCACCAGGAAGGATGTATGTGCATGTAACCCCTGCCTTCCTTTTGAAGGTCTAGTGGGAGGATAAGGGCTATGTAGTATGTAAGTATGATCTTTGGTTGTGGATCTGCTTCCTTTTAGTAGCACATCTGTGGCAGTGGAGCTTGCATTGACTTGTGCAGAAATGGCAAGGGAGTAGGACAGCAGGCAAAATTGGGAATCTCTCTTTGAGCCTCACAACTCAGATATGAGAGTTTATTTGGCCACTTCAATGGTCTCATTCACTCATTTAATATGCTGTAATCCCAATGCATCTGAACACCCAGATCTGGCAAAGAGGAATGTTGAACTACGTGTAAGAAGTAGTTCAAGGTGACATTGGCCTTAGGTCAACATTCCTGCGATGTAGAAGTACTATATATGTATGATGTTTGTGAGACTTAGAGTTATTATGCGACCGTGATAATGTTTTTCATTCAAAATGCCCTTGTAGTCAACATGCTTTTTCCTCTTGAGTCACACTCTCCCAGATCTGTTGTAAACACACTAATCTTGGTCGACTCCATATCCGATATGTCCATTGGTTTATACCATCTAATCTCAGGAGGGATTGAGTCAACTTTGAATACACCAGACAGTGAAATCATAATAAAAAATGTGGCATAATCGCGATTGGTTTTGCATGTTACACGTGTGTATGAGCATTTGTTTGACGCTCAATGGCGGATATAATTATAGATGCCCAGTTAGCTTACTAATGCAGTCTGCCCACCATTTAAACTGGATACTCATCGAGCACAGATAATTTCTATACACCTAACTTCCTCTGAGACGTCCTCCCTAAAACTTCATGTGGTATTCTCACTACCTTCTTCCTCCAGGTATCATTATTGCCATCATTGTGGTAGCCATTCTATTGGCTCTACTGACGGCCCTCATTATCTTCCTGGCCAAGAGATACTGGGACAAGGTCACCTTAAGACAGCTAAGCTGGAATCTGGACCGTAAGTCTGTGCCATTTGATGTTCATGCTACATATCCATGCCAGTTCCCTATCCATGCAAGTTCCCACGGATCCGAGTAAAGTAACTTCATTTCATGTGCTTTTTATACTGTTGTGTTTGCTGCACAGAACGTTCATTGTGGTATTAGTTATGTGAGTGTATCTATAATGTTAATTATTGCGCAACGTCACGGCTACGTATAATACACTACCAACCTAGCTGTGTACACGCATGCGCAGGTTATTGTCGTGTTGCACGCATTTAGGGCGAGGCTCGCTTTCTGCAAAAGTTGGGGGTGGAGCTGAATCGGGTCCCGCGTAAGAGTGAAAAGATGGAGCTAAGAGTCTTGGTGGCGTTAGCTACTGTCTTTGTCTCTCTACCGTCTTCCTACCAGCAGAGCTGCCTCGAGCCAGTCGCCGCGAATCTGCAGACTGTGATAGCTCTACTCATCCCGACCGGAGACGCCGCTGTACTTCCACAGTCTGTGAACGTTTCGGATTTCCACGTCGTTTGCCGCGTACACGACAACGTACAAGGCTTGCTTCAAGCTGTGTCGGTCGTGGTGCAGTACACTTGCTCTGGTCACTCCAACTGTCCACCAGGACTGCAGTG